AAAAAAAAAAAAAAACCTCTTGCAGTTTATTAACAAAATTCATACAATGACAATTGCACATTTCCTTTTCTGCCAATGCCCCTTGTTTAATTACTACCCTTTTTTATAGACAGAAAAGTGGACATACTTTAAAACCTTTCTGATAAATATATTGCCACACGGCATCCGGCCTGGATAACGCTCTTCAAAACAGCATATGCTGGAGCCTGTTGAAAACGACAGTAAGCAAACAAAAGAAACATGTTCTATGTTCACTTGTGGCAGTAAGATATGGTCTGAAATGGCAGGGCTGCAGCTCTCTGGATAAGACATAAGATCTAAACATTTCTTTTAATTCAAAAGGTTGGGAAGCTTCCACTATTGCCAGAAAATCTGAATCATCTGGTTTCTCATCGGGAAGAGGAAAGAAGCTGCTAGGGGGAAATGATGAGAAAGGAAGCAAGAAATAAGACTTCCCATTGGGAGCAATGCTTTTGCCTGATTTTTTATCAAAGCACAGTATTGGTTTGCTATCTTCGGTGGTCACTATGAAATCTATTTTTCTGGAAACAAAAATTTTCCCGCCCTTTAATCTTCCAAATAAGGTGCCCAGGGCAGCACAAGCAAATAGTAAAGAGAGGTTCCCTACCAGCTGTGCGTCATGTTCAAGGCCTATGTCATGGTGCTCGAGCTCTTCATCCCGAAATTTCCTTATCACCTGGTTAAATACAAAGAAATCAAAGAAAATCAAAAGAAATCTGTTGTCCTATCTTCTTCTAGAGGCTAAAGCCTCATTCTACCATCTAAGATAGGGGTAGGCAAAGTTTTTCCTATAAAGGGAGAAAAAGTCAGTTCTTCAAGCTCCGCTGGCTGTATGGGCCTCTCCACAACTACTCAACTCCGCCAATGTTCGGGGAACAGCAGCCACAGACACATTAAAAAATGGGCGTGACTGTGTTGCAACAAAACTTAATTTACAGAAACAGGTGGTTGGCCCCAGGCCAGGGTTTACTAACCCCCAATTTACACTTGAAAAAAAATTAAACAGTTCCCTTATTTGTAATAGAAAATTACATGAAGATATCTATTGGTTAATTTATTTAAGCTGAAGTATTTGTGCTCACAGCATTGGCTCAGAATCTATCAATGATCCAGAAGTGGAGAGAATACAGTTGTGGGCTCAGGAGACATGACATGGATTCTGGTCCCAGTTCTGCCCGAGCATGTGACCAGGGCACATGACTTGAGCTTTCTGTGTCTCTTGCCTATAGAATGAGGCACTCACCTAGGTTTCTAAGGCCATGTCATTCCCCAACTTGCTATTTTTTTTCCTTCCCACCAAGTTGCTTACCGACCCTTTTCACCCTTATTGGCCTACTTCCAGAGTATATTCAAATACCTGAAGAAGTTCCTCATATTTTTCAGGATCCTCCTCCATCAACGTCCTGATCTGGTTGTTGTAGTGATGTGCTATAGACTCTTCCACAGCCACAGTGCAGGCCATTGCTCCCTCCTTCCCAAGCAGGGCGGTTCCCGCACCTGGAATTGTCAAATCCAGCACAGAAAAGGATGGGACAGACACTACACCGGTGCGGGAGATCATGTCAGGTCAGGGTTCATCAACCGGAGCACTACAGGCTCTAGGGCTCAGTAATTCCTTGTTGTGAGGGCCATCCTGTACACTGGAGGATACTTTAGCAGCGTCCCTGGCCTCTACCCACTAGAGGCCAGAAACACCCCTGATTGTGACAACCAAAAATGTCTCCAGACACTGCCAAGCATTCTTAGGAGCAACCTGCCCCCAGTGAAAATTGCTGTTTTAGGTGGTACCAGGTCACACTATCAAATCCTGAATCACAGAGTAAGAATGCTATTCTCTTTTCCATGTTCTTTTTAACCCTCTGATTATGGCAGGAAGAAAGTCCTCATCTGGGGTGAGTACATCTTTATTTCTTTCCCAACATTTACTCTTCTCCCTTTTTAAGAGTGAGCAGGTCTTAGAACCTTTGTCAGGGAACATCATCGGGCTACAACTGAATTGCTCTAGCTTTTTTCCTCCTCCGATGTGTTTGTTTTTAGTGTACTTTCTATTTATAAAACCACTGATTTAAATCCATAAATATTTAAATAAATTTAAGCCAAAAAAAAAAGTCAATTTAACTTTAAGAAATATTAAGTCAACAAAAAGGTTGTAAGAGGACACAGAAAGAACTGTGGATTCAGTACTTTAACGATGTAATCGCCCCAGATCCCTAAGCTCAAGCAAGCTCTTCTGGACACATACCCAGTGCAAACCCCACCACGTTCCAGAAGGGCATCAGAATGGTGGGCCGCACCCTAAATGCAACCATCAACTCGTTGAACTTTTTCAAGTGGTCCTTTTCTTGATCCCACATTTTCTGTAAGAAAAACATAAAAATAAATGCAAGCATTACTCAGAGACCACCTGCTACATGCCAAGGAAGCTCCATGCCCTGTCCTTGTGGGAGACAGGAAGCACAAGGGAGATGGAGGAAGAATGAGAACCGCTATTTCTCCCCTTCCCCTTCAATCACCCAAGGAAAAAGCGAAGCATCGGACTAAAAAGCATCTTGGATATGGAGAAGAGAGTGCCAGCAAACCAGGAGAAGAGCCATTATCTCCATTCCAGGTTAGCGGGCCATGAACCATGGCTCCAGAAGTTCTGAGACCTGCATGTGCCTTTTGTGTTTTAATGTTTATTTTTTTTTTGAGAGAGACAGACAGAATGCGAGCAGGGGAGGGGCAGAGAGAGAGGGAGACACAGAATCTAAAGCAGACTCCAGGCTCTGAGCTGTCAGCACAGAGCCCGATGCAGGACTCGAACTCACAAACTGCGAGATCATGACCTGAGCCAAAGTCAGTTGCTTAACTGACTGAGCCACCCAGGTGCCCCAACACATGCCTCTTTAAGGACAAGGTCCACACTAAAGAGAAATGAGATGCTGAGCCCACTCCGCAATTAGGAGAGCAGAGAATCACCGATTGTGTAATTTCCTTCTAGAATACTAGAAGTATCATTTACATCAAAGGATTAAGTGGGAAAAACAAAAGAGCTAACACTTAGCTGGCACATCCTAAGTGCCAGGTGCTATCAAACAGATTTATGAAGGCAATTCATTTAATTTGCACTAATTGGCATTATCCCCATTACACAGATAAAGTGAGGCACAGAGAGGTTAAGTAACTTGCCCAAGGGCTCACAGCAGGCAATTTAACTTGTGCTGAGTGTCTATTACATGCCAGACATGGTGTTAGCTGCTCTATGCCAGCTCATTTATTCCTCACGAAAACCCAATGAGGTAGGTATTATCAGCTCATTTTGCAAATGTAGAAATAGAGACCCAGAGAGGTCATATAACTTCCCCAAGGTCACAGAAGTAGGAGGTGGAAGAAAGCTGGAATGTGAATCTGTGTCTTTGTGACTACAGAGCCCAGGCCCCTCCCTCTGCCTCTCAGTATAAAATATAAAATATCTCCACTGGGAACAGGATCACAACCTCTCAGCAACTGGTGCTTTTACCTCATGTGATGATTCTCAAACATTTTTAATTGCCCACCCCACAGTGAAATTTTAATACTTCAGATATACCATATATCTGTTTATGTACTATATGTCTCTACTTAATACATACAAATAATAATATACTTTCCCTCCCCTGACCCCACCTTAGTAACCAATTTTTGTTCTCTTGGGGACAGTACCTCCCTTGACAGTGCATGACGTAATGTGATTCATGACTTGAAGGCCTTTGGATCCCCACACTATTCAGTGAGGCCCGCCTGAGAGGGATAACAGAGCACCCACCTGAATGACTGGCCCCACACTTGTCCGACCCAGGACGGCCATCTGCCCTGCGTAGATTCGGTTCGCTCCATATTCACCTGCATGATCCACCCGGATTATTCGATCCACAGCTGCCCAATTGATATTGTCTAAGGTCATTCCTGAACTGTAAAATCTGACACTGATTCTTCTTCCATAAGCTGCAATGCAAATGTTTATTCTTCATTACTTTCGGGTAAAACAGATGTTTCCTTTTACAGACAGAAGAAAGGGGTACCTTGGAACTAAGGTCACAGATGACTTCCTCGTAGGAAGGATATCTCCATAAATGTATTCTGTTAAACCTGTAGTTTTGTTACTTTAAAAAAATTTTTTTAATTTTTTTTTTTAACGTTCATTCATCATTGAGAGACACAGAGACACAGAGCATGAACAGGGGAGGGGCCGAGAATGGAGAGACACAGAATCTGAAGCAGGCTCCAGGCTCCGAGCTGTCAGCACAGAGCCCAACGCGGGGCTCGAACTCACAAACTGCGAGATCATGACCTGAGCCGAAGTCGGATGCTTAACTGACTGAGCCACCCAGGCGCCCCATAGTTTTGTTACTTTTTAAAGTAGGCTCCATGCCCAACATGGGGCTTGAACTCAGATCAAGAGTTGCATGCTCTACTGACTGAGCCAGCCAGCCCCCACCTCCTTTTAAAAGTGAATTAATTACCAACACTTAAAACATAGAGTTTACCTAAAGATCTGATTCTTCTGGCTTCATGTTAAACATAAAGATCTGGAAATACTGAGCCTGTCTTTTCATCAGGCAGTGACCTCTAGATGAGCATGCTTCTCCAGTTCACCTCCCCTCAGGCCTCTTCGTTCCCAATGCTGGCTGCACAAGAACTCCAAGGGAGCTGTCAAAACCATGGATGTTCCTCCCCAGTCAATCCCCGGGGTGGGGAGAGGAAGCAGCAATATTTTTAAAAAGTTCTGTGCAGCCAAGGTTGAGAACTATAGATTTAAGTTCTCTCAAAACACACATGGGCATTGGATTTTGAGAGCAGAGCCTTACACCTTGAGTTTCATCTCCTTATGGTACATCATCAGTTCAACTGAACTCGTGTCTTCAAAATGTAAATTCTTCAAGATAGATTAAATTTTGTCTTTAAAAAAATCTCCTAAGAGGGGTGCCTGGGTGGCTCAGTCAGTTAACCATCTGACTCTTGGTTTCGGCTCAGGTCATGATCTCATGGTTTGTGGGATCTCATGCGTTGGAATTTTTGGGATTCTTTCTCTCCCTCCCTGCCCCTCCGCCGCTCACATTCTCTTTTTCTCTCTCAAAATAAATGAAATAAACTTAAAAAAGATCTCCTAATCGTTAACGCCTTGATTGTACTCTCTGAGCCTTGCATTAAGGCATCCCCAAAGTTTTTTCCCCTAAGAGCCTTCCAATGTGTTGTTATGTGTATAAGATGTTATCAGCTCTTTTTGTAGATATGAAAATGCGGACCCCATGGACGCAGCTGTCATGTGAACTTTGACTTGTACTGGTATCATCTTGAGATGTGTCTTAAGGCTCTTATGCATGACTACCATATCTTTAACACATACTTCTATTCATTTAGGCTAACTTCAACACCCTGAAAATGTGTGCAAAACTTCACCTTTTTTTTATTAAAAAAGGTTTGAGTGCTTTGGACACAGGTGATGGGGTAGGTCTGCTGAAATCTGAGTGATTCTGTATTCTGGGGTTTTAAATGCCTCACTAAACAAAGGAGCAAGGATATGGGGGTCTGAGGCCTGGTGACCCAGCTCTCATCCACTCTTCTGCAGGACCTGCTCCATCTCACTGTGCCTGCTTGACTCAAGAAACTGGATGGAGTCCAGGAACTGGACACCAAAAACTAGATGGAGTGCAAGTTCTGCTGAGTGTAATGTACCACTCGGATCTGTGCTATCAGACAGTGGGTCACTGTGGTCCAGTTTTTGTGATTTCTTATTATTTTATTATCATTTTTAAAAATTTATTTATTTTGAGAGAGAGAGAGAGAGAGAGAGAGAGAGAGCAGGGGAGGGGCAGAGAGCGAATCCCAAGCAAGCTTTGCACTGTCATTGCAGAGCCCAACATGCGGCTCAAACTCACAAACCGTGAGATCATGACCTGAGCTGAAATCAGGAATCAGATGCTTAACTGAGACACCCAGGTGCCCCCATGACCATGTTCTCGTATGGAGAACAATTTGACACATTTGAGAAAGTCAGGGTTGCCTGTCCAAAGTTTTCTCCTCCAGGTCCAAGGACTGATGCTCCCATGAATCTTACCTCCTTACAGAAATAGGACTCCTAGGAATTGGAATAGAAAACAATGAGCTGGCTCTACCTCTCAAGATAATCTTGTTTGCTTGTTCTTTCATTTGTTACTCACATCCCAAAACATGTTAATAGGAAAGAACTTACAGCCCAGGACTCGTTTTTTAAAAACACATTTCACGAGAAATAGCAAGGGGCTGAGTACACAGGATGAGTGTAAACACACAGCTGACTTCTGATGGGCAGGACTGTATTTGTACTAAAAACATACCTCACAGTTCCCCAGCACTGCACTTTTCCAGGCTCAGGCACCTAATAAATGATTTTTTGTCGGGTGTGTGGAGGATTGGGTTGTATTATTTGCCATTTTTATCTTTTCACAATCTCTGTAAGGTATCTTTAAAAAGTATGGGATGAACCACAGAAGGAGCACAGAGCTAGAGCCAGAAACTGTGTCCTGTTTTTTGTTTTTTTTTTTTAAGTTTACTTATTTATTTTGAGGGAGAGCAAGCGAGTAGGGGAGGGGCACAGAGAGAATTGCAAGCAGGCTCCACACCAGCAGAGCTGAGCCTGACATGGGGCTCGAACCCACGAACCATGTGAGATCATGACCTGAACTGAAACCAATAGCTGGACGCTTAACCAACTGAGCCACCAAGGCACCGTATACATGTTCTATTCTCTAACACTAACCTTGGACAAATCAAAATTGCCATTTCTTACATATAAAATTGGCAATAATCAGGTTTTTTCCTTTTTAAGGAAACCTACAATAGTAACACTTTGCTTACTGAATTATCATGAAGATAAAATGAGATACAGGAAGCAAAGTAACTTTATAAGTGATAAAGAATGATTTTTATTGTTATGCTCATTGGCTCAACAAAGGAGCATTAAAAGTCATGTTTAAAAATCCTGAGTTTTGCCTGCATTGTCACACACTTTAAAATTGCGAAAAAATAAAGTTGAGGCCCTGTGCTAGAAGCTCTCAAATGTATCATTTTAAGTTAGTGCTTTCCCACAGTGTGAAAAATCTAATAATGATGGTACCTAGGAGATTTAAAGTAGTATACAGGAAGATCTTAAGTGGCTTATGAACATGCATTTAATAACACCCACGTAGTTAAGAGTTACTCTCTTTTAAATTCTTTTGCAATCCCTTTGATTTCATCAAGGAGAATGTCTCAGTTTACAAATACCTTCCTAATACTTGCTAATCTTTTTTTTCCCCCCACCCAGAAAGACTGTTCGGGGTTCCGGGGTTCAAGTCTTGGTAGGCAATAGTATCTAATACAATGTACTTTTTGGTTTTAACCCATTCATTTTTTGATTACTCTATTTGGGCCAGGCAATACTTGGTTTTCCGTCTTCACCATAAGAACTTAGCTTCCGTGAAATTATTTAATTTAAAAATGGAACACACTGACGTGCTCAGTCGGTTGAGCATCCTGACTCTGGCTCAGGTTATGATCTCTCGGGTTGGTGAGTTGGAGCCCCACCACTCGGCTCACTGCTGTGAGACTGTCAGCTCAGAGCCCGCTACGGATCCTCTGTCCTCTTCTCTCTGTCCCTCCCCCGATTGTGCTCTCCTCCCCCCATAAAAATAAATATTTTTAAAAGATGGAACACGGTTATAGAAAAAACACATTCGGTAATCAAAAGCACAAGTGGTATTGCTAAAAGGTAAAAATCTTCAGGTGGTATACGAACGACTTAACTTTCAGAAAACGACTTCACAATTTTCTGAGGCAGCTCTGATGAAAAGAGGATAGGAGAAGGACCCAGGATCCTAACTCATCTCCCTACTCCAAACTCTATGCCCCTTCCACTACCCAGGTGCTTCTCAAACTTTCTAGTACATGCAAGACATTCGAAGGTCTAGCTAAACTACAGACAATGCGACCCTGTAAGTCAGGAGTGGGACCTGCACTTCTAACAAGCCCACGCGGCAGGTCGCGCGACTACTTTGCCTAGCAGGGCTCCTAAAGAAGGCTATGATGACGCCCATAGACACTGAACTTGCAAGGTCTCCCTCCACCTGTCCTCAGCCTGAAATGCCGACGACACCGGCAGTGACGGCCCGTCAGAGGTATACTATTATGTCATTCCCCCGCGTGCCGACTGCGAGCGGACACTCCAGAGCGCCCCAGCCGAAAACCACGCCCTCCCGCCCCACATTCCCCCAGAGCACCACAAACTCCGCCCTTCCTGTCAGCGGTCCGAGTTTCCCATTTCGCAGTCGCGCGCCGTCGCAGCCCTATGACGTCTACGACGTCTGCCCCGTGACCTCTCCGGCCCAAGTAACAGGCGAAAATTCCCTGGTCCGGCGGTTTAGCGCGCTTATGCGGCCGCGCTGGTTCTTTACCTGGGAGAGGCCGCAGGGCGCCCGTGCGCAGCCGCCACAGGGAGCGAACCGCCGCCGCCCCCGCGCAGCTCATTCCTGTGACAAGGTAACCGCTGCCCTGAGCGCAACGGCCAAACGTGCACTCAGCGCAGACTGATGACGCATAGCAGACGTAAGACAGACACTGCCCGCCCTGGCAGCGGTGGGAACGCCCCTAGGCCCCTGCTTCCATTCGATTGGTTGGAAAGGGTAAAGGAAAAGATGATATTGGGTATGATCAGCATCAATCACTCAGGAGTCCGACGTTTCTAAAGGAGACTTGGGTTGCTAGGGAGTTGAGGATGCTAAATTGCTTTTCCCAAGATGCCGCCTGGGTAAATTCCTGGGAAAGAGGACCAAGAGGGAACTCTTTATTGTCACAGCTGTTGTACTTTCTGTTTTACCAGCATGGAAGGAGAGTTTTCCCTATGTGTATCCCACATCCTGCATCCACTTGTAGAAGTTGCGTGACGAAATGAAATTCACCGTATGGTCAATAGTGTCTCTAGGTGATGGTTCTAACGGCCGACTTAAATTCTTACGTTTTTTCTCTTATTTTAGGTTTTGTATAGAGAACATGGTTTTTGTTTCGTTGTTTGTCTCCACTTTACGGTTGGTGTGTATCTCTATTGATGCATTGTTTTGAGAGGTGTGGGGTGGGGAGAAGGAGATTTAGCAACGCATATCATGCTTTTGAAAGTGAATGCCCAATGTGTGCGTGCAGGCTCATCAATTTTGGCAAATGTACCACTCCGGTGGGGGGATGTTGGGAATGCGGAGGTGCTATGCATGTAGGGGCAAAGGGTCATTTCCACCTTCCTGTCAAATTTTCTGTGATCCTGAAACTACTTAAAAATTTTTATCAAAAAATTTTTGTGGAATATTTTTTAAATAAAGCATATCGGCTGACTACGTCAAGGGATCTAACCAACAGAAATTTTCCAAATGTGTAGGATATATATTTGAAGGCAAAAAATCAAAGATGGGTATCTGGAAGGAGATATAACAAAACATTTAATTTCAGTAACGTCTGAGGGTTGGGATTGTTAAGGGGCTTTCACTTTCTACTTTACACCCTTCAACTATATATTTTTTCCAAGTTATAAAACATTTAATATTTATATTTTAATAAAATATTTAATACAGTTGTTTCAAACTTTTCTAACACAGTACAATAATTATAAATTATGGCGAACTATTCCATAGCTTTTTAAATCCAAGCAATTAGTGTGCGGATGATGTGACATTCTTATGTAAAGCTGAGTGTAAACTTGTCTCTCAAAAGCCCTAAAACGTTCTTACTAAACCTTTAGTGTAATCCCATCCCACATTGACAAAAATTTATGGAAGTTATTGTCAGGAAAAATTGAAAACAAAATGTTAAGCAGCAAAGGAATGTTAGAAATTATGACCCATCTTTATGATGTTATGTAGCCCCTTGAAATGTTTATAAAGAACTTTTGATAACATGAAATAACACAGTAAGTGAAAAGAATACCAACATTTTTTTTCTTTCTTTTCATCCCATCCTCCCTCCCTTCGTGCTTTCTATCTTAAGAGGAATTTGGCAAGATTAGCAGTGAATGTCGATAAATGGTGCTTATATGTGATTTTTTTCTCTGTACCTTTCAGTGTTCTCAATATTTTCTATAACAAACAAGTATAAGGAGAAAACAAAATTTCAGAAAGAGAAAGTATATTAGTCCCTAACTCCATTCTCAAAAATAAAAGTAACTATATGTATTATTTTCCATTTTAAAGGGAATTTTATCTCAGAAAGGTGAAGACACGAAGCAAGTAGCAAAGCCATCCCAGGTCCCAAGCATCCCATGCATTGGAGAGAAAATACAGAAAATGGAATTTACTAATAAAGCCGTACCCTATATAAAGAAGATACATTCAGAAATCCTGTCTTCCCAGGGATCAGACCTTGCAGCTCCACTCCGGCAAAACGGATGGTCTTCTTCATCATTACTTACTCCTGAGTAGCTGCTATCAGATGTTGCCAACTTAAGAATTAATGCAAACAAAAAACTTGCCCAGCTGGATTCTTCTCTTTGCTGGGATGAGAATATTCTGTGATTGCAAGAACATGCAAGGCTGCCTTGATAAAGAACAAGAACGTGTTCTGGGGGAACCCTCTGATGCACTGTTGGTGGGATTGCAAACTGGTGCCGCCATTCTGGAAAACAGTGTGGAGTTTCCTCAAAAAGTTAAAAAACAGACTACCCTATGACCCAGCAATTTAAGCAGATTTATAGCCTTTGGTATTTATCCACAGTCTACAAAAAGACTGATTTGAAAGGGCACATGCATCCCAATGTTTATAGCAATATTATCAACAACAGGCAAATTCTGGAAAGTGCCCAAATGTCCATCAACTGATGAATGGATAAAGAAGATGTGATGTGTTGGGACACCTGGGTGGCTCAGTCAGTTAAGCGTCTGACTTGAACTCAGGTGATGATCTCATGGTTCATGAGTTTGAGCTCCACATCGGGCTGTGCTGACAGCTCAGGGTCTGGAGCCTGCTTTGGATTCTGTGTCTCCCTCTCTCTCTCTGCCCCTCTCCTCTTCATGCTCTCTCCCAAAAATAAATAAACCTGAAACTTTTTTTTGAAAGAAAGATCGTGTGTGTATATGTATATGTGTATACA